TTTTCCTTAGAGAGCACTGATCTTTAAAATTCTCTTGTGTTGGTAGCCAGAAACTTTATTTGCTGGCCTTAATTTATGCTACAAGCTCTTTTAATAGGAACTGATGAACTAAAAAAAAAAATCAGAGTATTAATGAGTTAATTTTTTATAGATAATAGCCACTGGTTTGAAGAAGCATATAATTTCAATCTTTAAAGCAGGTTAAAATAAGCTTTTTTAAACAAAATTTCAATCACTGGCATTCAGCTAATACTGTTACATAAAATTCTCTACTATATTTTCACCTTAATATTTTTCCTGTGGCATTTGTTATGTATTACTTGGACTAAAATACCTTTTCCCTTTTTATACTCTTTGTACTCAGCTCTTTGCTTTTCTGGTAGATACATGGTATATTTCAGCAACTGTGGACACTCTGTACTAGCTCGGAGCCATTTTGATTACTTTTAAACAAATTAGCCAGCCTTTAGCCAGTTCAGTGATCTCTCCCATGTGGCCTTATGCTGGCCTCACACAGAACAGGCCTCTAAGTCTACTCCAGATGGCCAACTGTATCCACTAAGCCTTTCAGAATGGTGCTGATCTTGCTAGTTTGGGACAGAATATATTCTTTTTATATGTAAGAAAAAACAGATATACAATTTATATGTATGACTATAAACAATAGTGATTCTTTTCTAGGTGTATCTTTATAGCATTATTCAAATGCAAACAGTAGAAAATTTCACAGGAAACTGGAAAACTGTTCATATAAGAAAGTTAAATTTGCTTACATTTATTATAGTGATAGAATAAAAAAAATGATGTTATTTGCCCTGTGCTTTTATTCTTGGACAAATATATTTTACTGGTCATCCTTTGTCCTTGCTTTTGGATTTCTTATCAAATTTCTCCTTTTGCATAATCAATATTTAATCTATGACCATGTCTATCTAAAATACTGAAAATCTCTTTGTCCTCACTATGAAAATTCTGTTTCTCCTACTTGAAATTTCTCAACTGTAACTGTTAAGTGACTTTTTACATCCTTGCCCCAAGACAAGAATTTCAAATAATATCAGGCAGAACTAGGACCTGTTCAGCATTTTCAGTTCTTAGATTTTTAACTTACATCCTTTCCGGGGTCAGTAGTGAAAATGAGCTCACCTGTAATGAAAAAAAAATGATAAGCTCATATTTGCATGGACTATAATAATATAGCATCTTAAAAGTAATGTGAAGTGAATTGGTATTTTTTGTTCAAAATATCCATCTGCTAAATGTAGAATTTTGGTAAGAAATATCTCAACATCAACACACACACTTGTAAAAATGCTCAAATAGGACAGACTAAAAAAAAAAAAAACACTGTTTTGATTGTCTTCTCAATTATCAACTATAAGTTGATAGAGAATACTAGGAAGTAAAAAATGTAGCTACAAAGTATTAAGCATACAATTAAATTCTATAATTTACTTGCAGTGATAATTTCTTTTTAAAAGCAACCAGAGCTTGATAATGAAGTCCTTTTTGCATATTTTTCCATAATTATTGACAACCTAACTTTTTTTTGAGACAGCAAGCAGACCAGGCTGATCTTGACTAGCAGAGACCAACCTGCTCACCTTAACTTTGTATCTGTTAAGATAATCAGCATTTTCCTAATATGCCAGATTAGGATGAATTAAATTGCTTTGAAGACCAAAAGTTACATTCGAAGTGTTCCTAGGTCTTGATTTTATGCTAACAAATTCTTAGCATATGTAAAATATTAACTATCTTTTGCATTTCAACTTATATTCAAGGCATAAATACATGATTGCTAACTTAGTGTCCATACTTGTTTACTTCCAATAAAATACAGACTGAGGCTTTTTATTCATAGGCCCAAGGTAAGTTTGAATTAATAGGAGTAAGTAACAACTACTTTTTAGCATCACTAAGTATAGTTTTTAAAGCTCAAGTGATTTTTAAGAATGGGGAAAGAGACAGCTGAGATAGGAGGAATTTTTTTTAAATGGACATCTCTACCTACATGGTATTTTGGTTCATTACCCAAAATGTGAAGATAAAAAAGAAAGAGAGAGGGAGAGAAAGAAAAAGAAAGGAGGAAAGGTTTTAAAGTTAGAGACAAACAAAATTATGGTGCTAGTAGAGTAAAATGATTTTTAAAAAATATTTTTCCTAATTATGTTTTACTTAACATTAATGAAGAGACCCTGAGATGACCAACTTTTTTCTCACGAGGAAGACAACATAAAATGTTTAACAAACACACTGCGACACCTACTATTGCTTATTTAAACACTGAAGTAGACAGTATAGTATGTTGTTCACCATCATCAGATACAGCTCAAATTAATAATTTGAACACTTGTCCTAATACATGAGTGTTTTTATTTCATTGTGACTCATCACCACACTATAAGATTACTATTGACCTGCAAATTAACTATTCTAGGCTTTGAGATGATTATATCTATTCAGGCCTGTCCCATACATTGACAAAGGAAGAAATGCATGCTGGTCTGAAGTGCTTATCTATAGACTGGACGTCAGGGTGCGGCTGCATCACTGAAGACATATACTTTTCAGTAAAAACATTATTGGGTCAGAAATTATTTGGGCTCAATGGACCCTAGTAGTGCAGTCTGATAGTTCTCACTGTGGAAGAGAAGATACTGTGACTGTGGTTCATGAACTGCCAAATGGTAGGACTATTCCTAGAGACAGGGGGATTTGTGTTTCTTTCTTAATTTTAGGAAGTTGTGTTTCCAAAACACACATTTAAAACTCAGAACAGACCTTTTTCCAGCCAGTGTACTACACTGAGTAGAAACAGGGGAGTGGACAGTATTTTATGATGGTAGATAATTTGGTTGCATTTCTAAGTTAAAAATCTGACACCAAAAGATGTTGGGACATTTTGCCTTTATATGTAACTTCCACTATTTATGTAACTAATTTGAAATGCAAAGGCTTAGAAATAAAATCTCTCAACATGATTCTATTCTCTATGTTGTTAAGATAAAGTTCCAGACTTTTCTGAGAGGCTTGCTGTACTGATGAAATATTAAAAGCAAAAGCCTCTGGGTCCAAATATTTCCAGGAAGAAATCTCAGTTTTTATTTAGCAACATCAGAAACTGTCCATTATTTTCATGTTAAGAGACAAAAATCACTTTAATTATGATAATTAAATGTTTGTGTTCCTGGTAAATTATTTCTTCCCTAGCCCTGGTTGGAAGTAGGATTTCTTCTTAGTACTCAAAAGAAACGAAGTGTATTTGGATAGAGATTGGTGGTTTCTCCACTTCCTCTCCCAAAGAGATGTTGCCCTTCCTTTCTCTCTCTCTCTCTCTCTCTCTCTCTCTCTCTCTCTCTCTCTCTTCTTTCTGTAGTCGTGGCTGGGGAGTGGGATGTGAGGGAAGAGAAAGGGGCTGTATATAAAATGATTGAGTAGGCCTAAGTTAAAATTCGGCCTTGATCAGTGAGACAGACACACAGAGATTAGAAGAGACAGTTTTAATATAGTACCTGTGTAATTTAAAAATGTGCAAACTCTGCTTTCATCTCAGGTCCCCTTCCGTCTATGTGCTGGTTTCTCTGGACGGTTCAGAATCCATTTTAGAACATGGGAAGCAAAATGTGTGAATTCCACTTGTGCTTTTGCAGGTGCTGTGGTGGCAGGGATAACCTTTGCTCACTTGCCGCCGGCCGTTACCAAGCTGTTTTTTTTTTTTTTTTAAATGTCTGGTGAGAATTAAAGACAACACAGAAAATTCCAAAACCACATTCTGACACCTAAAGTCCACACAACGTTTCTACACAGACAAAAATATTTCACAGGAACCTTCATTTGCCAAGAGAGAAGGGTGATTCCTTTGAGGCATCGCTGAAGATTGGAAGAAAAAAAAAGAGAGAGAGAGACTCCTAGGTGTTCTTCTGCACACCCCAGGGGCCTAGAAGATCACTGTTCAGGCTGGGGTCTTTCTGAATGAACGTGCATTTTCGGTTCTGGATGTCAAATAAATTAGGGAGGAAAAGCAAAACTATAGGGCAATTTTGCGAATAGTCCAAAAGGCTAAGAAACCAAAGAATTTGCCTCTTGCCAGGCTGGGAGCCTGGCTGTCCTCAGCTGTCATCGCCAGCGGAGGAGGGGAGCACGGGTTTTGGCGGCGTGGGGCACCGAGTGGCTGCAGCCCGCCTGCAGCTCGGGCCACCAGCTCACCTCCGCGGAGAGCTAGGCGCTCACCGGCCTGCTCGCCCCAGCTCGCGCGCCGCCCTCCGGCCGCAGCCCCGGGGCCAGCACCATTCTGCCGGAGGGCTGCTGGAGGGCCAGCACCGGGAGCTGGCTGTCGGGGTCGCCCACAACTCTCAGGGCGCTGGGGCCGGCTCCCCATTCCCTGCTCCCAGCTCCCGCCTCCCGTCTAGCCGGGTGTGCCAGCTCGCCACGGCCGCCGCGCATGCACGCACTCACTCGAGGGCGCCTTCAAGGTTACCCGCGGCTGGGGGCTGGAGCGGACTGTGGCCACTGGCCTCGTCGCTGCTCTCCTCCCGCCCCTGGCCTTTTGCCGCCGCGGGGCTGTGGGCTTCCAAGCCCGAAGCGGGGCATGCTCCCAAAGCTCAGGGAGGGAAGTTGGATTGGGAGACAGCTCGGCCCCTGTCCGGGCTGGGGGCGGCCTCGGTGGCTCCCGGGTGCCCGGACAGCCGGGTCAAGCGAGGTCGCGGCGGGCCGGGGCTGTGCTCGGCCTGGGAGCGCTCCACGCAGCCCGCTGTGCTGCAGGAGCACCAAGGGGCGAGAGGAGCCCCCCGGTCCATAGAGAGGCAGAGACCAGCCGGCGGCCGAACCTGCCGGGGAAACGAACTAAATAAAAGGAGGCTGTTATTTAAGGCGCGGAGATTTGAAATATTTGGACAGGAAGAGAAGAGGAAAGAAACCTTTGCGAGTACACGGAAAAAAAAAAAAGTGAGCTAACGGTTTTGCAGCTCCCCCACCCCCACCCTCGGGCTTTTCTGCGCACACAGAAGGAGCGCCCTGCTCCAGCTCCTTCCCCAGCCCGAGTCTCAGTCTGGAACACAAAAGATGTGTTCGCAGCCCCTCCACAGATGCTGCGGTTGGCTCTGGGCAGAGCTTTACCCCCATCTCAGGCGGAATTTTTGTTTTCTGCCTCTCACTAAATGTCTGCGTGGGTCGATTTGCAGGAAACAGCAGGGTGAAAGCAGCAGTCACACACGCGAAGATGAGGCTTTCCCCACTGTAGTCTTTTGACTGAGGTAGCTTAGAAGAGCTAGAAAGGTTTGCAAGTATGACCCTTTTTCCCTTCGGCACTGTGATTTTTCCAGTGTTTCTTGGATCCCAGTGAAAGTCTAAAACACCTTCCTAGCAACTGAAAACTTGAAAGTCCCCTGCCACAAATTCCAGCATCCAATATGATCAAGATAAAGTAAATTACCATATTGCCAAATAAATTGCTTTTCCAGGAAACAATACTTTATGTATTTGTCAGGTTCCCACAGCGGTGTGTGTGTGTGTGTGTGTGTGTGTGTGTGTGTGTGTGTGCGCGCGCGCGCGCGCAAGGAAAAGGTCATCACACCACTGTTTGATGCATGATATTCATTAAAACAAAAAACAAAAAACAAAAAAACCAAACAACCCTGTTGACTCACCAGAGAAACGAGAGGATAGGTACCTTGGTTAGTGACTCCAGTACTAGAGTGTGGACTGAGACCCTGTTAGTGCACAACCCCTCCCTCTTTTTGCAGGTGTAAATCTGGATTTAGTTTACTGCGCAAAGGCTGGACCTGAGTTTCCCTGTGCGGATTAGGCACAGTGGAGACAGCTCTGCTCGCATCTCTGCTTTATAACCTCTATCTTTGATAGAGCAGGTCCCCTGGGGTTCCAGGCACTCTATTCAATTAGATGTTTCATCCTTACTCTGCACCTGAATAAATTCAGACTTCTCCTGACCTATGCGCCATGCAATTTAGACCCCATTAAGCTCAGCATTACACTCACTGCTCTGCTTATTCAAGAGTTCTGAGCACTGTCGAGGTTTTTGAGAGATTGCATAGCTTTTCATATTTCCTAGAGGGGACCACATAACTCATTTCTAAAATACTCAGATTAGCAAAGTTACTTCCTGCGAGGAGCCAGGGTAATGTGGAGATGTTTTAATGCCTAGCAAATCTTAGCCTGATGAAGAGATAGGGCATCCTCTCCCTTTGTTGTGCTCAGACCACCCGAGAACAAAGCAATTACAGTACTTCTCTTCTGTTTTATGGACATCTCGTGCCTTTGTATTTGAAATCGCTAAAGGTGATTTTACATTATGGGATAAAGTAAATGCTGAGACATGTAGTACTTCGAGTCAATTAAACTGTAAATTGGAATTACCCAACTTTACAGTTACAATTTGTAAGGAGGGTTTTAAAGCATGGCTTTCAGTAATAGTACTACTCTTTGCAACTATTCAGCTTACTAAAGCTGTATGTTTTATATAATGAGTCTATTCTTGAATAGAAATATTTTCCTTTTAGACCGTCTCAACTTCTACCTTTAAAACTTTCCTAAATTGGGGCCGGGCGGTGGTGGCGCATGCCTTTAATACCAGCACTCAAGAGGCAGAGCCAAGCGGATCTCTGTGAAGCGGATCTCTGTGAAGCGGATCTCTGTGAAGCGGATCTCTGTGAGTTCGAGGCCAGCCTGGGCTACCAAGTGAGTTCCAGGAAAGGCGCAAAGCTACACAGAGAAACCCTGTCTCGAAAAAAAAAAAAAAAAAAACAAACCAAAAAACTTTCCTAAATTGAATGTCATCCTGACATTGAAAATACATTCATGTAGAAATGTAGTTAAAGGAGGCAGAAGTAAAAATCTTATTGCACTCAGTTTAGAGAATGCAAATTTTAACCCCACAGTAAAAATGTTTATGCTTTTTATCCTAGATTCTTTAATATCACACTAGAAGATGCACTATTTAAAGCGATTGCCTTCAGCCCTTGCAGTCCTTGTTAAGGCAGACATCAGAGCCATGTCCTTCAATAAACCTTCAAGTATTTTGTTCCTTTTGAATCGAGGGCAGAGAGCTCATGAAGCAGGGGAGGGGACTTTTCACATAAAACATCTTTGTTTGTGTGGCAAATGATGAATACCGTATTTATAAATTTATAAATGGTAACTGCGTTGAAATCCTTCGGGGACTATCTTTAATACAACAGTCTAATTACTAGATGTGGAGAAAATCCTTTTGGAAATTCGAGGTATATCTAGTTCCCTCAACAATTTATTTTTTTTAAGCTAAAATGTTCCCCAAAAGATTTTAGACCATTTAGTTTAAAAAAAAAAAAAAAAAGAACATGTGGAAATAAATCAAGTACCATATGGAGGAGCTGCTTTTATGTGTAGTGAAAGTTCTTATATTTCCTACTCTGTAGACCCTAGGTAGTTAGGGTCTTTATATACCTTTTTTTTTTTTCTGGCTGAGGTCTTTTTAGTCTCCCACCATGAACACTGATATTTGTAATTTTAAACATTTTGTAGTTTTGCATTTTTGACACTCATAGGGAAAGGCCAGTGTTGTTTTGGCTGACCTGTGGCACAAGTCTGAGAATACATTAAGCAACTGTTTCATTTTTTTTTTTTTATTTTAAAAAGTCACCTAAGGGGCAGCTTCCACGCTGCTATTTGCTTTCAGCACTGACTTTTTAGAGCTGATGTTTTGTTTTCAGATTGCTACTTCTGAAATCTGCCTTTCAGCTGTTTGACTCAATTTTGAGGAAAAAGGGAAGACTGGACATTACTAGGAATTCACACTGAACTAATTTCAAGTCTGATCTTCAAAAATGCTGTTCATATTCCTTTTTGAAGCCAAAATACTAATAAAAGCAGAGATAGCCAATGAAATATTTGGGAAGGAGTATGGGAAAGAAAATAAAGGAATAACTCAGTATAACTGGATTTCCAATGTGTTCTTTTCTAATGTTAAGACTTACAGTATTATGAACTTTTAACACATTTCTTACAGAGTGGCAAGTTGTGTATAGGTTATAGAGGAGTAAAAAAAAAATCACAGGAAAATGTGGTCCTCTTCTGAAAATGTGTTTTAATTAGGCAAAAGATGCATCAGGACAAATAATTTTTAAAACAACGTCTCCAAGTCAGACACTGAGACTGGCAAAGGGTAAGCAAAGAAAAAAAAATCATAGATAAAATATCCAGAAGAAAGGCATAGCTATTTGCAATTACATGTTAGAAATCAGAATTTTGACAGTGAAAAAGTTGTTTAAATATTTCATAAACTTGTAGTGAGATTTCCAATTAGGCAGTTTCAAAGAAGTTAACTAGCTGCTTAAAAATAAGAAACAAAACAAAGTGATAGTAAACCAGCCAGGACGGCCAAGCACCTGACTGACCAGGTAAAGGCGGCATGGGAAGGCCTCCCTGCTGGCTCGCTCGCCCTCTGGCTCACACTCACTGTAGATTTGCGGCTCCCCCCACTCCATTTGCCTCCATCAGGCTCAAAACCTCATTTCTTCCATAGAACCTGGCCACATCGAAGGCGGTATCCCCCTTGTGATTCCGATGCCCCACATTGCTGGCCGTGTGCTTCACAAGGAACTCCACCACAGGGAGGTGGCCTTCTTTGGCAGCCAAGTGCAAGGGCAGGTTCCCTTCATTATCTTCGATGTTAACATCAGCTTGAAACTCCAACAGAGCCTGTACAGTGTCCAGGAAACCTGCTCTGGCTGCATCATGAATGACAGCGAAACCAGTTCGGTCTTTCAAATTGGGATTAGCACCTCTGAGTAGAAGTCTCCTGGCAATCTCCGGATTTCCAAGTTTCATAACCTAGGAAAGAAGTTAAAGATGGGAGAATCCCTCCAGCTCTGGAGCTACAGCAATATTTAAAGACATCTATCTGTCCTATTCTGGCCATTATTTTTGATTCAGTACTTGAAGAAGACTTATACCACAGAGTTTGAAGGAGGGTGTAGCAGGCAAGTACCAGTTGGTAAAAATAGAAGAAAAGTACAAAAATTGATCTTATTAGTCAATAAAAATATTCTAAATAAGCCCAGATGTGGGATAAATTGATCAATAAAACAATATTTCTGCAACATGAATAAATTTGATGGCTAATTTGGTTTTTTATCTAATTTGATGGCTAACTTGCTTCTTTATCTTTCATGAAGACCTGTGTAGTTTTTTGCTTTTTTTTTCTTCTTGAATTCCCTAAAATAAAAGAAATGTAATTTGGTATTTAAGTAAAGACTCCTATTTGTTTATTCATGCTCATAAAATATACCTGGGGTTATTAATTCTGGAAGATTAAATGGGAGTAAAATTTATTTCCTAGTAGCTACTGAAAACAAATGATGGTGGGTTTCTTTAAACCCCCAGATAAATGTCACTTAGTGTAGAAATGATCCTTTAAAATCCCAGAGTTGACATGTTCTTAAATGATATGTTTTACAAGTTCCTTCCAAATAGATATTGCCTGAAATTTTTAAGCATGATTTTTTTTTCTTTACAGGCTATAAATATTGGCTACTAGAAACATTCCACGGCTAGAATTCATTTCAAATTACAGAATATCACTGAGTTATTAAGGTATTAATTAAGCCACTGAGTTCTACATTGCTTATTATATCCATTTATTTCAAGCTAAGTTGGTGATCTGCCTTATATTAGAGGGAAATGCCTGCATGGCCACCATTCTTAAGAAAATCCAACAGCCACCCTACTGTATTAGTCAGGATTTCTCAGTGTTCTAACTAGCCTTCTGATATTCAAGTAAGCAAAAGTAAAAATAAGAAATTTAATGTGTGTGTTGGAACAGACAGCTCTATCCTGTGGTTTGAGTCATTTAATAATCAACTGGTGATCCTGTCTAATTTCCGTTTGCACTCATAACATTTAAGAAGAGCTATTTGTAAACTAACAATATTTTGAAGGCCAGAATGTAGTATCAATACTTGCTAGCAAGGCACAAAATAATTTATATGACAAAGACTTATTTACTGTTGTTTAAGTGTATTATATTTTAAAAGATGTCTGTTAAAGATCTCTCATAAGTAAAAATGTATGTATAACAGCACTTGAGAATAAAATATATATTATTTACTTGTAAAAAATATTATTCTTGTGTGAAAAATATTATTATCATTAATCTACCAGAAAATTCCAGCATTTGAACTAGTTTCAGTTATACTTAGGTATATTCATAAGAATCCAAGTTATATAATAATAAGTGAGCTACTTACTAGACACTCAATATCTATTAGAGTAAAAAAGTAATACATTTGAAAACATGCACAAAGTTGATTTGATCTCTTTAAAATGTTTTTAAAGAATTGCAAATTAGTAAAATATATTTAGAATGAATAATACTTTATAAGTGCAAGTTACACACTTTGTCATTATATTAAGTTTCTTCTTTAATAAAACCCTCTCACCCCTTGATTTAGAGCAGTAGAAAAATGACCCAAAATTTATTTTTCCAGAACCTCCATGAAATATATTGTCTGGTTATTAAAAATTAATAGTCTAATTTTAATTTTTTTCATATCTCCCTAAAACCGTAGTCACATTTAAAGAGTTAAAGTGAGTAAAACAAGAAACAAGCACCTTAGATCTTTGCAAAGCAAATGTACGATGGTCTTTGATTATTCTGATTGAAAACAATATCAAAAGAAAAAGGCTTCTACAGTTGAGTAAGAAACATAATCACAGATTAAAATTTGCCATCTTTGGCAGAAAGTAACAGTAATACTACAAATGATTTTGAAGAAAGTTCTTTCTGATGACACAATTTCAGAGTCAGGATTATGTATACTGAAAAAGACTCTCAGTTGTGTGTGCTTGCTTCATTATACATCCTGATATTAAGCTACAATAAGTGGGTATTATCTAAGTTTGTTAATATAAACAAAAGTGGATGCTTATTATTTTTTAAATGTTTGTCAGAATTTAATTATCTTCATTACCCAACTGCCCTGTTTGCAAAAGATTCTGAACACAGATGAAGTGGCTCATACTTCGTGAAACTGACCTAATCTTTTGACTTTCAACAGAAAACCTTTCAGTATCTGGAGTGTAGGGCACTGCTACCATCACCAAACCAGCACAAAAGTATTAGGTGGTAAGACGAAAACAAAACCCTTTCCTTATTTAATCTACCTGAATCAAGATAAATATGTTTGTGTCTCTGCATAAGCCTCCTCAATAGTAAAAATTTTGCAAGGCCAGGTGTATTCTGACTTAAAATATACAGACCGTGTGAGCTTCCACTGTGGTTATCTCCTGGCACTTATATTTCTGATTTTTTAAACAGAAACAAAGCTCTCTAATGCCTTTACCCCAGTGGATTTTCAAAAGCTGCTCGTGGTAAGGAAAAGCTCCCAGGAGTACCATCAGAACACCAATAAAAGCAACTAGTGGAGATCACTTTTCCAACTCTTTGTTTCTATGCCTTTCAGCAAAGTTACATGACAACATTCGGAGGAGGAAAAAATATTATCAGGTCCATCCTCAGCAGCTGGACATGTGTCAGTTGTTGCCTGTAAATCTAATTACTGAAAATCAGAGCATACCACCGCATGACCACGAGGATAATAAAAAAAACTACTGCTCAGCTCTGATTAGAAAATTCAACTTTTTATTTCTCCTCACTCCTGAATATTAGGTACCATATTAACTGTGAAATGTACATCCTGTCCTGGTGCCCAGGCTATCCCATTCCAAACGAGGAAAGGTCGTTTGTTAAGACATGAAGCAGCTGAAGGAAAAACACCCTTCCTAGTAGTCAAGGAAATTAACTTTAAAGTCAATTATTAGGAACAAAATAGGTAAAAACCACTATTAGCTGTGTATTTACTTCAAATAAGAGTCATAATAATGTGCTTAAAGAGCTATCTGAAACAACACAGCACAAAACAAACAGATTTCGACGCTAAGACTACTTTAAAATCTCCACTGTCACAAAAACATTCCAAAAATTATGACCAAACCTACGATTCTCTTGATATCGAGGATGTTATTGGGTTTGACGAGTTTCTCCAAAGTACGTCATTTTGGGGAGTTGGGTCCACTTAAAGATATAAAATATGGCAACCAAGTAGGTTTTAAAACGGTGAAGATTTGTACCCCTCAAAATTTAAATGCTGTCATTTTAGAAACCCAGGCAACCTTATTAACTTGTTTTTCCCCACCTCTGTGGATACCAACCTGCAGCGCAGTTCTCCCAAATCCATTTTGAGCGTTGACGTTTACATTATTTTGCAACAAACTAGTAAGTTGCTCTAGGTCCCCCCTGGCAGCTGCGGACGCCAACTCGTTCCCCCAAGGCTCGGCCATTCTTTAGGGTCCTGACGATCGGGAAAAGACGATTAGTTGCTTCTCCTTTCCCACTTTCCTTTGCTCCTAATCAGGCTGCATGATGGCATCGGAGGCTGACAGAAGGACTGGGATGGTTAATCTGGAGTAGAGCTTGGTAGTAAATACTAGTAAGGTCGGCCTGCCAAAAGCCCGCCCCTCGATTCACACGTGATTATTCAGCAAAACTGAGCCCATTGGAGAGGGGCTCTTCTCCTAGCTTTTTAGCTTTAACCCCTAAGAAGGATTCTGGCGATTCAACAGAGACACATACAGACACACAGGCATTCTTGATTAATTACTCTGGACGTGAGATGTAGGCAGAGCTGACACGTACCTAAGCTTCACAGTTCTGTGAGGAGGATGTGCGGAGCCTTAAGGGACTAGATCAGCTCAGAAAACACCGCGGGAGAGAAAGTATTGGAGAGAAGAAAAGGCTTTAACCCACCCTTGTTCACGATGGTGACTTGAGGCAGAACTTCAGGGGCAGGTCCTCCGCAGGGCTCGCTTTCCATCCGTCTCGCCGAAGGGGGTAGTTCCGAGTGCTGCTCGCCAGTAGAGCGCCGCGATGGCTGGATGCTGACGTGCTGGGGGGGTTAAAGATGATCGCCGAAGGCAGACCGGAGCAGCAGTTCCGTGGCCCTCAACTCTCGGGTCTCAACGACTCCCCAGCGGGCTCGGCGCCTTCAGAAGAGCCCCCGGAGCCCGCCCGCCGGGCTGCCGCAGCCCCGCCGAGCCTCAGAGGCCGTGGGAGCCGGGCAGGGCGCAGGTCTCCGGAGGCTGGTGGGCGCGCGGCAGGCCCCCGCCAAGCCCGTCATGCCGGTCCCGCCGGGTCCCGGGACTCCCGGCAGCCTGAGGAAGGAGCAGGGCGACGAGGGACGCGTCTACCGGGCTCCGGTCGCTGTGGCAGCTCGCCGTAGCATCGCGGCTGCACCGGGCCAGCTCGCCAGTAACTTCCCGCCTACGACCGAACTAGCTCAGGCTCTCCACTGCAAGCGCTCGCTGAGCGGCGGTCGTCGCCTCTGCAGCGGTCTTTCCCTCTTCTCCGATTTTCCGGGGGGCTCCGGTGATGGGAAGGGTCCTTGGAAGTAGAGGCGGTCGCCACAGTTCCCGGGCGCAGCCAGTCCCGCCGATTTCTTGGCGTCCGTCCAGCAGCAGCTCGGGCGCTGGGTGCCACTTGGCCAGTTCTTCGCGGTCCTCCGGCCTGTGCCCCTAGTCTGTGCCGCGGACAGGGCAGCGGCGGCCAGCCAGCTGGGTCCCGGAGCCGACCCAGGCAGAGCCCGTCCCTCCCGAGCTGCGGCTGACAGTTTCTTTTGTAGTCCGACTCCCCAAAATCTCGGAGAGCTGCTCCCTTCCCGGCTTCAGGCACTTGCGCGTCTTCCCCCCTTTAGGATCTTTCCCTTCCCTCTCTCCTTTGCTTCTTTTTCCGCTGGAGCAACTGCTGCTTCGGTTGCCTCTGCTGAGACGGTGCCGGTTTCTTATCCCTTTTTTCCGACCTCATCAGCTTTTTTTGAAAAGAAAAAAATTGAGCGCTTTTTGAGTTGAAAAACCCGCCCCCATTTTAACGGCAGAGTTTTAAGGAGGCTCCGTGGAGTTAGCGCGCCGCGGGAGCGGGAAGGCCGGGCACCGCCCACGCCCC